TTTTGATGTTTTGGAATTGTCCGAAGCATCGTGCCACACCATCTCCATCTGGAAGGAAACAGAGAAACAAGTAGTCATCCAAGGTTTGTCATTCATAGTAATCAAAGTACAACATAGAACTATGCATGCATAACAAAAACTACAATGGTCGCAACTATGATGATATTTCACATAAATTTTTCTTCTTTGAAAATGGGAAGGTAACGAAATTTTTCCATGATCCATCATGAAGGAAGAGGACTGTGATTAAACTACATGTCACATTTCCAAACAAATTGATAACCTTGACCATGCACTTAAACAGAGAGATAAAACAGACCCTTTGTTGTGATATTACATAACACAGAAATTATACAAAAGAAAATGCCCCCCCATGGGAGAGAAGGAAGAAGAACAAAGTTAGATAAACATACCTCCCCAACAATCACAGTGTCGCCCTCCTTTACACCAAGTTTGATAAGAGATTTATATACACCACAAGCCTCCAAAACATGTTGAAATCTTCTCTCAGAATCCATATATCTGCTCCAAAACCAGAAAAGATAAAGTTGCTGGAATGACAAGATTTGAATTTTTCTATGTAGCAGTAAAATTAAGAGCATCAATTTTGTCTAGACAAGGAAAATATCTTCTGAAAACAGCATCCAGATATGTTTGAAGATGAAAACCCACATTTTTTGGTTTCAAACCAACTTTCTCATGAAATGTATGTCCAAACCCAGTGTTCAAAACAAGATGATCTAATAAACATTGGTTTAGACAAAGGCCCTAGGTTCAAAATTTGGTTTTGTCATTTCATACATGAGGAAGATGCTCTACAATTGAACTCCCACTTTGCAGGGACACAATTCTAAAAAATGAGAAAAAACTGGGCAAGAGACAATGACAGCAGGGAAAATGTAGATACTAGCAACACAAAATAATTTACAACCTCCAATTTGTCATTTGGACAAAACGTTGCAACCCTGCTCCATCCACATGCCACGTATTGGAAGCACTGTCATGAGAAATTTCAAACTCATTTATAGGAGCAGTTTGCTGCTTCCGCATCATATCAGCAACATGGTTCAAATTTGGTGGACCATTCCAACCTGAATCAAAAGAAGTGGTCAACATTGTACAGGAATAGAAGAATTAGAAGAAATACAATGCCTGCATGTGGAAATTGGAAAAACTACATCGGAAAAGGCGGAAAAAAATCATACATTAAATTATTGAAACATCCAAAAAAATACAGGAGCTCTTCGTATGACAGTGTCATTTTACATTCCACTTTGTGAAGCAAAGTGATCAAATCACACTTACAAGTTACAAATATTTGCATGGAGCACATACAGGCACCTAAAACTACAGTCTTTTTGTTGAGTAAGAAGTTTTTGGGATTGAACCTACTATACAGAGTACAAATGACACTCTATCTTTGATGCACCATGCAAGACTTCTAAGTTCCAGTAATTTATACCAGTAGTACTGTTCTCAGAAAATCTAGGACAGCACTAGCAGGAACACTTTCTTCATCCAGGTAATATCGCCAACAAGTCAGTTTTTCTCATTTGATTCCGCAATTGTAGAACATCACCAAGGAAGCAAATTAGGATCATTGCCTCAATACAGGGCAGATAAGCCAAAGTGATACTCACATAAACAATCTAATTTCCTAAAAGAAAATGAGCTCTCCATGGCCCAAACATGTACTTTTCTTTTCTGTATTTTGGATAAGCACATAGAAATATATTTTTACAGGGTACATGCATGATGCATGCACACACATACAGGCACATATGCAGGCATCCATATAGCAACATACATATTGAAGACAAATACAAAAACAATAATAAGTTTGCACTGAGAAATCCAAACAATATCTTACTCTCTTCTTTCTTGGTTTCTAATCTTTCCCGAACAAGTTCATAAGCAGCACAGATTACTTCCTGCGTCCCTCTCTCTTCACAGCACTCATGCAAAAAGGTTCAATCCCACGAATATGTAGTCTTTCCTTGAATGATACCCAATTTTCATATGCCTCTGGAAGATCCATTTTATTGTATGCTACTAAATAAGGCTTATCAGCAAGATCAGGATTAAACATTTCCAGCTCAAGGCGAACCGCATCAAATTCATATTCTGGTTGCTGTGACGAACCATCAACAACATGTACCTAAGCCTCCATTTATAATGTTTCCATTAGTTCCTATTCAGAAAAAATATTGGCACAAGTACCGAAACAAAAAGGTAGAAAGAAACAAAAATCTAAAGGCAATATTGCATAGTCATAAAATTATGAAGAAAAACGCCAAGAGCAATTACATGAAAGGTAACTTATACGGCATAAAAGAATTAGTAGTATCCCCCTTTGTCAGTACTTTACTGACAAATAGAGCAATTAAACAATGACAATATAATAAAATGAGATATTGGGCGCACTTAGAAATGCTTTTAAAGTTTTACATCTTGCCATGCTTCGCAGCATGAAGTAATATTAGCAGCCCCATCAAGGGCTAAAATGGTTTATCAATAAAGCAAAAGAAAAGGCACAGAAATGCATGCCACCACAAGAAGAATTAACTTGGCCAGATCAAGGGGAGGTCCTCCATGCTGACAAAAAGGGGAGAGGGGGGAGGTCCTCAATTGAGCCTAATTATTCTAGGAAAAACTACAAGCGGAGCACCTAAATGAAACATTGAATACCCAACTAAAAGTTCATTTAAGAATCTTCGATGCAGGCAAAGGCTACCTGTGTTCAAATGGTAGTTTAATACAGTTCATTTACAAGTAACAACTTATGATAGCACACCCCAGTTTGAGTCAGTGATGCATCAACTTCAGAATATGACTATTGGTGCTAGAACCTGCCAAAGGAAAGCCTGGAGGATCTAATTCTACATTGAGAAATGATGAGAATACATGTTGTCATCAAATGATTTCTAAGGTTCACAAAATGATATAGAATGAAAAATCCAAAAGATAAGAAACTAAAAACATACAAATATCACAACTTTCTTTTGCTATCACTACCATGTCAAAACTTATAAATCTAAATTCTTAATAACTCAGAATGAAAGCAGCTGCAGTTATTAAAGTTTATACCAGAACTGAACATCTTTCTGTGTGCCGAAGAAACTCATGGCCTAAACCAAAACCTCGGTGTGCTCCTTCAAGTAGACCTGGTAGATCAGCAACGACCATTGTAGCATCATAATCAAATGAAACTACACCCAGATTTGGAAGTAAAGTTGTAAAGGGATAATTTGCAATAGTTGGCTGAGCAGCACTAACGACACTGAGAAATGTGCTCTTCCCTGCATTCGGAGCACCAATTATTCCAACATCTGCAACCAGCTTTAGCTCTAACTCCAGCCACCTGTCCAATAAAACCAGTACTTTAACATAACTACCAAAAAAGGGGTCATACGTCAATATCTACCACCCATCGTCTTGGGACAAATTGTTCATGCAAGGTCACAGATTTAAATAATCCAACCACCATTAATGAACTCAAAGTAAGCCCATGCAAGGATATCTAAAATCTTGCTCTTGTTCAAATTCAGATAATGCTCTGAAAAATTGGTATGAAAAAAGTCATTGCAATTCAATGAAAAACTTCCCATGTATGTGTTTTATTTCAGAAAAGGTACGATGATCTAAATAAAATGTCACACCCACCAATTCTGCCCAAGTCAGGGACAGGTAATGATGGAAGAACTCTGATCAAGCAAAGAACCTTGCATGCCATATAGTATTCTGTATGATCTTATAAAGCCATTATAACTCAAATAATCTATGAACCACAATTACTGCATGAAAAAAATTACAATCGAAACAAGAAATTCTCACATTTCTAGACCTTCTTCTCCATTCTCAGCAATCTTTGGCACCTTATTTGTCCCCGACTTGAATGATGCATTCCCTCTCCCACCTCTTCCACCCGGCAACAACAACGCCCTTTGCCCCGGATGCAACAATTCCAAAAGCTCATTCCCTTCAACACCATCCTTGCCAGCCTCCCTTATCACCGTCCCTGGTGGCACCTTCACTACCACATCCTCCCCCTTGGCCCCATTCTGCTTCCTCCCCTGCCCATGTGCCCCCCTCCCCGCCCTAAAATGCACACTTTGCCTGAAGGGCAACAACGAATTCATCGATTCATCAACCTCCACATAAACATTTCCTCCCCTTCCTCCGTCTCCACCGGACGGCCCGCCCAGCGGCACATATTTCTCTCTCCGAAACGCCACCACCCCATTCCCACCATCCCCTGCTTTGACGTATATTTTTGCCCGGTCAAAACATCTCATCACCGCCGGCACTCCTTTTTGCTTCTCTTTGTCCTCCTCCTCTTCTTCCTCAAACCCCTTATTTTCAAACTCCTCATCCATAAACCCCAAAATTTCATCATTATTATGCTCGTCACCCAAATCATCGTCACTTCCATAATCAGAATCTGAATTTATTTCAAACAACTCAAAATTTCCATAATCAAACGCTAATTTTCCGTCGATTTCTTCATCTTCACTCCTCAATCGATCATTTTCGAGTTCATTTTTCGCTTTAGACACATTTTTATTGGGGGTTTGTGTGATGGTGGAGTCGGAGAGCTTGACTTCCGCCGGAGATTGGAATGTAGAATCGAAGGGAGAATCTACAAAGTCGTCTTTGGGAGGGAGACGAGTAAAGGTGGTGGCTTCGCCGCCGGAGGTGGAGGATAAAGGCAGGTTGCGAGAGGTTGTACGAGTTTTGTGCTCATAATTAGGATTCTTACGGAGATTTCTGGGTGGTATCGCTTTGTTTTGACGGTTTCGAGTTTGATTGTTGCTGGGTCGAGCTAGAGAATATGGAGAGAAGTATATAGAGAGAGGGGACGCCATTGTTGGAGCTCAGTTCTGTGCAGTGATGAATGGTACAGTCATGGCGGGGAGAGAGACAGAGAGAATGGTGGCGGGATACTTAGTTTGAGAGGAGAGGAGAGGAGAGGATAACGGGCCACGTGTCATTACCTGCTGTTTGGTTTGGGGGAAAAGGGAAGATAAAATAGCGAAGACGGTGGAAAACTTGCTAAAACTCTTACCATTTTCTCTTCTACCCAAACAAGAGAAAAGAGAAAAATCGAAAATTTTCATCTTCGTTTCTCTATTTTTTCCCTTTGAATAAAATTGTCTAGCTCCTTCTTTCTCCACTATCCTTGCAAACAAACAAAAAATGCAAACAAATTTTGGTAGTGTGAAGACAGACAATGTTATGAAAGGCCATGCAATGTTCTATGCTGAACTGATTGTTGTAAAAAAGCTTCTAGTTCTTGTAATTTTCTCTACTCTTCAGGTATTTACTGCTAATCTTGTACTTCTTTATTGTTATTTCTGGGTTAGAACTATTGCTTAGTGATATTCCCCATCTATCACTACTGCTTATTTGGGTGTTAATTATGCAGGTATGGATTCTGTGCCCTATGATTATAGACACACACACACACATATATTTATATGCACGCATATTAGACAGTTTTCAAAGTTATTATTTTTATGGATCAAATTACTAAATGAAATCAAAGTTATGAAAGAAAAGTAAAAGTCAATAGTAAATACGAGAATCGACAAACAACCCATTTGTAGTAATAGTTATAATCTTTATCGTTATACTTTCATCGATATTTATTGTGAAATAATTTATACCCATATGTAAGATTGTGAAATAATTTATACCCATATATGTGTGTGTGTGTGTGAGAGAGAGAGAGAGGGTTATTTGTGCAATTTGGGTTGCCCCCACCAGGTTTACAATCGGTTGGTGACGGTGGAATCAGAATGCTAACATTCATTTAATGGTTACACTGATATGACAAGAAGAAAGTGAGATTAGTAGAGTACCCTAAAAGATTGAAATCTTTGAGGACCCATAACCTATATTGGTCTAGATTTAGTTGGTGAAAGAGGGAACATGGAATCTTGTGGGGGCTGACTGAAGCAGCTGCAAGAGAATTTTTTTTTAACTTTTCCACCACATAGAAACAAGGGAATTTGATCATAGCACAGAGATATGAACATAGAAACAGCCTGTAAGAAGGATTTAACTTTAAACCCCCCCCCCCCCCCCCCCACCCCAAAAAAAAAGAAAAAAGAATTTTTTTTTGAAAGTGTGGGGGCAAAATTCTGAACTTGATGCTAGTACTTTTCCAGGATGGTGACTAGGTCTTTTGAATTGTGCCAATTCTTCTCCCTCCCTCCTCATTTTTGTTCTTTTTATTTTGGGGGTGGGGTGGGGGATATGTGTAGTGAATGGAAATCGATACTCCAATTAGCCAACACCAAATAATTGGGATTAAGATTTGTTGAGTTAAGTTGAGATTTAGTGAACTCACCCCCGAATGGTCATTTTATGCATGTTTTACTTGGTCAAGGCGTTGTTATGCTGTTTATTTCTCACATTGGTTTTCCTTGCAGGCCGCTGAGGCACAACATTGAAGCTGGTAACCAAAAATATTGCAGCCACAGTCTTGGCAGTAATAGAACACTTGAGTCATAGGAATGGTAACTTCTTCCATCCTTCTCTGTAACTTTTCTCTTGAATGCATGGATTTTTGGCACACAATCAAGAAATTAACAAAATCACACGCATATTCGTTGTTGTAGAAATTTCTACCTTTCAGTTTTTTGGCATGCTACTAAGAACAATTGATCCATTCTCAGAAAAAAGTTAACACACATATCTATGAGTGTTTCTATCCTCATTGCCCCCACTTATTTTTAAGATTTAGGTGTCATATGTTTAGTTCTTTAAAGTTTGTGGAGAAACTCAAATTTTGATAAATAGCGACTTCTCGCTTTTCTACTAGGAAAGAGATGAAGAGTTCAGTTTCTCCAAGGGATAGAAATCTGATATGACTCTCTAACTTGCATTTTGATTAAAAGGTGAAGGTGATGGGCTCTTTTGTGATTATATGCAAAACTAGCTAGATTTTCACCCATTAGTTCTGTTCGAGCATGATGCTATTTACACTTTATTTCGAGGTTCTCTCTCTTACTTCTTTCTCTACTGTGACTATAGTCTATATCCAAAGAACAACAGATCAGATATAAAATGTACATTAAAGAGCAACAGATCAGATAAAAATGTACATTAAAGAACAACAGATCAGATGAATGTACATTATCAAGCAACAGCATGCAATTCAGGACTGGAAGTTATTAAATGTTTCCAAGTTGTCCTTCTTTGATCAAGACTAGCATTTTGCATCATTTGAGGGGGGAAAAAAAGAATGAGAGAGAATTTAAGTTAATATACATCAAATGGAGCTTTCCCTTTTTTCTTCCAACAAAAAATTCGGAAGAAGGTAAAAAAAAGAGAAGATCACACCGGAGATAGTCACCGGCTGCTTAGCGCCGGTGCAAAAATAATCTTAAATAACATCCATAAGTTTCAGTACCTCCTCAATTTCCTTATTATGCAAACAATTGGCTTCCCAGTGTAACGGTTGCAGTACCTCCTTCGCCCATGACTGTTGTGAGCATGATCTCTTTTTCAAGTATCCGATCAAGCTCTATGGTGATCATTTCCATGTTTGGTCTCCCTCTTCCTGGAAACCTCGTGCATCGTAGCATCAGCCTGATAAAATCTTCCATCGCCTCTTCAGTAAAGCTCCCAACTAATCGATTGTCCACTAAGTTATTTGAACTCAAATGTGTTTCAACCTTCATAAAGTGGAACAAAGCAAGTAAGCTACAATATTAACTGGCCTCTACGCAATTCTCGGGTACGAGTGAGGTACCCAATCACTTTCATTTGTCACACACACGAGCACACACAAAAAAAGGAAGTAAAACACGAAAGATATTGAACCAACAATTCTTTTAGTTGTCAATCCGCACACACCTTCACTAAACTTTTCTTGGCTAAATCCGTTGAAACCTCAAATCGAAGGTAAGAGGTATTCAGGTAACATATTTTCACAGTACACTAGAAGCACAGGGGGACAATAAAATTTCATTTCTAACAAGAAAAAAAAGATTATTTTTTGTATCTAAACCAGATACTGGTAAATTGTTCATATTTTTTTATAATTTCCTAAAATTAGAATATCATAGTAAACAAAATTATTTCCTAGAATATCAGTGAATCTTTGATATATCCGAACTATTCTAGAATGACAACATATAATTGCTTCATTCTAGTCACTGCTGACCTTTAAGAACATACGAGTTCACAAGTTATTCTCATGTTTTAGAGATTTCTGATTAATAATTCTCAAATTCATCGCTTAAATTACGATGAGACTATGCTGAAGAAGAAAGTAATAAAACGTTTGTGTTGAGAACTAAGGGATGGTCCTGTTTCTGGGTGTCGATCCCACATCCCAGTTGATGCAGGGTCAAGTCTCACCCACATCAATATTCCCCCTCCCCTTGGATACCTTATCCAATACAAAAGTAAAAGGATTTCACTACATACCCAGTGAAGTATATTTTCATCTGATCCAAAGGAGTCTATATCTGAAGCCTTTCTTCCAGTTATGAGCTCCAAAATAAAAACCCCAAAGCTGTACACATCATTCATTTCAGAGAATATCCCCGTTTGACCTACCCTATAAATTCATATAATCTACAAATTCAGTGTTGTTAAAAGCTAATTTTCTATGCTAGAAACTGAAATGCAACCAGAAAAAGAAAAGAAAGAAAAAAGCTTTACTCTGGATCTTTGAAAACATTGATACTGGTTGATTGAGATGGACCTGCCTCTTCAATTTGTTTCAATAGTTTTGAAACCCCAGCATCTGCAACCTTAGCAATGAAGTTCTCATCAACCAAAACATTAGCTGTTTTAAAGTTGCTGTGTACTATGGGAGGGTGTTGACTATGCAAATGGCATAAACCTGCATTAGTGAAAAAAACACCCTTTCATCGAGTCATTCTTTTTTCTTTTTCTTTTTTTTTTAAATTTTTTTTTAATATGGGTGAAATGGGAAATCTCATTACATTGTTTTGATGATACCTTTAGCTGCCCCAATAGCTATGGATAACCTTTGCTTGAACTCTAGTTTCGTCTTTGAATCTTTTCCTGTATCTGTCTAACAGCAAATTACTATGACATATATCCAACGCACAAATGTAAATTACTACTCTCTTTACGAGGCTTACCATACAAATGCTTGCACATGCTGCCGTTTGGTAAGTATTCAAAAACTAACATTTGGTATCCACTGTCCTGGCAGTAACCTAGAAGAGTAACTAGGTTGCGGTGCCAAATCCCTGACAAGTAGACTACCTGTTATTCAAAATGGGAGATCTCAGAGGTTCAAAGATTGGTCTCAATAACATCTCTAACAAATATCTGAAAGTGTAATATGGTGACTTATTTAGTCAATTTAGCCTACCTTCTTATAGAAATGAATGTGCAAGAAAGGATTAAGTTTTTCGTATAACTGCCGAATAAAGGATGTACATTGCAAGTTAGCTATACCTCGTCACCAAATTCGTGTCGAGGGACACCAGTACGCCTTTTGATAGCCACAACAGTGCCATCAGAAAGCAATCCTTTATAAACCAAACCAAAACTTCCATATCCAATGAGATTGCTTTGATCGAAATACTTGGTAGCTTGCACCAGCTCTTCTATGGAGAATTTCCTTGCTCCATGTGGTCCAAACAGAGGTGGGGCCACAGATGAACTGGGCCGGCCTCCTCTTTTCAACTCCACTGTGTTAATTGAGCAGGAAATTAGTAACTGGTAACAAGAGATGAAAAACACTGAAAATCTCAGTGGTTAATTTTGCTGAAACAGTACCTGCTGCAGATGGATCTGAAGAACCTGTATCTGAATTCTTGTTTGAGAGCTTTCTACACTGTAACATGCAGAACCACACAAATCCAATAGCTAATCCCAACAATGCTAAAGCCCCTATGGTGCCTCCGGCTATAGCTGCAACTGTCCTTGACATCCCGCAAGACCTCTAAGTTCCCCTCAACGGACCTGTACATTGAATCTGCGACACAGACGAATCAAAGAACTACCCGAATCACGATAGTTAGAAAACCTGGAAAATGTCATCTGTCTGCATAACAAAAATACTCAAAACCATGTATAGATTATGCATGTTAAGATCAGATAAATCAGTACACTTAATACTCTTAATACCAGAAATAAGAAATCCCAGATCAATTTGTCCCGATAAGTGCTCACCTATGTGAAATGTTTCGTTTCTTATAAAGAAATCAAAGGACAACTCCCTCGTCTTTTCATAGTACCCCACTTTGTTGTCGAAACCCTGACCACAGTTGATTAAGTTCTTACACCTACTCAAAAAATCCAAAAAAAATAAAAATAAATGCAAATCCCGGTATTAAGGGAGTTATCAGAAGTTCAAGGTTCCTTTAATTCAACCCTCTGATCATTTATCTTTTGTTTTATGCATGACCAATTCAACTCCATATCATAATATAGTTATTCCATCAGATCTAACCTGGCTTCAAGAAAGTTTGACAAGCAACTTTATGATTTTGGCTGAGTTTCACATACAGCTTCCCAAGTTGCGGAGACAGTTGTGATTCTCAAGACAAGTAAAAGAATTCGAGCTGTGGTCATAAACCCATCTCTGTTTGCTGGCATGTACAACATTGGTTTAAGTTTGGACATGGATTCCATATCACAAAGTGGGTGTACTTTTAGATTCCAGTACCTTAGACAGAAAGAACAGTGGCTCAGCAAGAGCTTAGGTGACTATTGGTGAGCACCAACAGTTCTCCAGGTAAAGAGTTGCTTACATGCACAGTTCCAGGTAGATTTCTTTGAACTTACACTATCTTAAGACACGTCCCTTTGCACTGATCGGAAGCGTTCGTAGTGAAACCTTTGTATGAGCTTTGTGGAGTCTCTCCACCAAAATATCAGACCCAAATGCCCATGTGTGAGTTGTCACAAAACTGTAAAAGTTTGATTTTTACTAGGATACTGGAAGGGGTGGAAACTGACTAATAGGACAGGCATTGGAGGACATAATTATTGAAGGGGGCCTCGAAATAAAAGGTAGTTATCAATCTATCAATTCCAAGTCTTTTCCTTCAATTCATTCTATCAGCCATTTTGCCTTTTTTTTTGTTATCTGACCTGAAAAGAAGACAGTTCCTATATGGTATATAGGATGGGACTCTTCCTCATAGCATATCAATACAGCTGAGCAAGAAGACATTGTCACAGCTACTCATGCAGAATTCTTCTTCTATCGTTGGATGTGTTTGGTTTTCTTCCTGGATTAGAGAAGATCATTTGTCTTGGGAAAATGGGTGTTTGCTCCCTCCCTCTCTCTCTCCCTCTCTCTCTCTCTCTGTGTGTGCTTGGCTTTGCTGGCATTTATATTTTAGGCAACTGGTTGAGCTGTGATGGCCAATGGGGAAGGGTAGGGAAAGATTCTTGTGCTGTACGTCTCTCTCTCTCTATCTCTCTCACACACACACACATTTATTTAGTTTGTGTGGTTTTCTGAGTTTGTTGTGTTCTAAGTTGAGCTGGAAAGCAAAAGGGGATTGGTGGAAAAGGAGTTGTCATGTTGTGCAGAGTTCAAGGCCGGACATAAGAGGCCCATGTTACACACACACACACACACAACCCCAGAGAGAGAGAGAGAGAGAGAGGTTTTGTTGGGAAATGTGGCTATCTTAAAGGGGATGTTGTTTGGATCTGTTGTCTGTGTCCTTGGCAGCAAGCTAAGTAGGGATGTGTGGGCATGGCCTAGTTAGTGGTTGCAACAACAAATTGTTTTTTTGTTTTCTTAACTTCATTGCTTTGTTCAAACTTAAGATACGGTGTAAGTTGAGAAAACCACAGGATAGTGGTTTGTCCTTATTGTATAAAGAGACCAATATTTCAGGTGGTCTTCAGACTAGCAAATCTCATTTAAAGCTTCACACCCAACTATCCAAAATGTTCCTCTCTGATTATTAGCCATTTGGTCTCCTATGATGGAAGGTCAGTATCCATCAACAACTCTGAGATCACTAATACGTATTGGTGAGGTCAGTAGTAGTTGCACATGATAAGAGATAGAGATGCATGTGTCAACAATATCAGCTGCTGAAGTTGCACATGACGAGGGCTTGAACAACTTAGTATTAAGTGGAAGATGTTTTGGAAGAGTCAAGTTGTGTTAGACTCCTGGTATACACATAAAGCAAAACAGCATTAAAAGACAAGATGTTAAGTTAGATAAGACTCATGATCTTCACGGAACGCGTAGCTAAACATTATCTAGTAATACTTTGAATCTTGGATGTAATGATCAGCCCAATCAAGTGGATTGATAACTCTTGAAGAAGTACAGTTGCTGTGTGGACCATCTGATTTGGAAGGAACTTTTATCTTGGGTTGTGGGACCAATCTCTGTAGGGGGCTGGTGCTGTCTGAATACATGCATGATGTATCTCCTTCTTCCAGCTCATGCATGGAATCACCCATTTTTCAGTTTCAAGCTTTGGCAGCAAGACCATTTGAATCTACCATTAAATGACAAATTTTTGACTTCTATTTAGAGAAATTTGATGTTAAAGTAGCATGAAAAGCTGCATTGAGCTTTATTACTCTGATGTAGATGACGAGGGTAAGTCTAAGGTACCCAAAAAAGAATCCGATATCATACCAAAAATTATTATTTTTTAAGATAAAATTATACTTTTTAAAGGTAAAATTACAACTAATTAGATCATAATATTTCATAATTGATCATAAAATTGTCTCAAACATTTGTAATTTTACTTTTAAATGGTATAACTTGATCTCAAAAAATAATAATTTTTATCGCTTTCTCGATTATAAATTTTACCTCGCAAAAATATAACTTAATTTCAAGAAAAATATAAATTTCCATAGGGTATAGGGATGTAGTCTTTCTCTGATAATGAGTGGATGATCTCTGACAACCGGCATTTTGATAATCATCATATCTATGATTACTGCATGATGGGAAAGAGGAATCCAACTCTTACGTGATGGAGATGGTGATGTCTTTTACTTGCTTTTTAATCATTTAACACTTAGAATAAACTTCTTAAACTTTTTTATTTTCCTTAACATTCTCAAGCTTATCACTTATCCCTTTTAGACCAATTAAAACAAAAAATTTGCACAATATGTACAAATATGCACCTATGGCGTCAAAATTATAATAAAAACCATTTGACTTGAAAATCCAGGGAATACACTCTTTTTTTTTTGGCTTTGTGATTGTCAAATTTATCATACTGTCATTTGTTACACTAACATCATTGATCAGGGCAGAAAAGATGTTGAGAAAAAAACATTTAAAAAAAAATCAACTTGGATCTTGAAGCCTCGTTGAAAAGAAATCTTTGATGACAAAAAGGAGTTGTATACAGTACTGATATTTATTTTATTTATGGATATTTTTATTCTTATTATGGGTGTTTTTATCACTTTTGTGATACTGAAGAAAAGTTATAAAAATAATTAATACAATAATGATAAAAACACTAACAACAATGATAGAAATACCTATAAAAGTGATAATTTTTTTTTTGTACCGGAAAAAAGTTATAAAAATAATTTTCACAATAATGGTAAAAATATTTATAATAGTGATAAAAACACTCATAAAAGTGATAAATTATTCACAAAATAATTTTTTTAATTATAAAATGACCCATAAAAATTATAAAAAAAATACATTCTAAAATAATAAATTTTAAAAAATTGATACTCATTTTTCTTCTTTCGATGCCGTAATCAAATTCAAAAAAGCAACATTGATTCTAATCCATCTAGATATTTAGTACATAATTTGAGAGTATTTATAATAATTTTCGTTCTCTAAAACTGTGTTTAATATGGTGGAAAGAAGGATGGATGAAAAATATAGGAGAAATAAACGTTTTCACTTGTTTGGTATGGAAAATGGGAAGGAAACCTAATCACATGTGCCCGCTGTTTTTCTATCCTTCCGGTTTTGGGCAGAAAGTGGAAGAGAAGATAGAGATCTTGATCAAGTTTAAGCTAAATTATTATTATGCCCACTTGTCCATTCTTATTGTGCACAGTAATCTATGCCTATTTTACTTTTGATGATGTCAGCCAGTTGAAACTCACCACTCTTTTTTAATGGTATGGTTATAGAATTTAAATATTATTTTTAGTTTTGTGTCTTCATTTTTTATCTAGGAAAATGTATCAATGTGTAAATTCTTTTTATATTCTTATTTTTTATTAATGCTATTTCGTCATTTTTTAATTAATAGTTTGAATTTTAGATATTTTTTTTATATGCTTTTCCAAATTAATTGGATTGATTTGTAATGAAAAATTCACTTAATATATTTAAGGATAGAATTATAAATTGGGCATATATGTTTTTCCTTTCTTTTTATTTTTCATCTAATACCAAACAATAAAAAATATATCCCTCTTATTTTTCATCTCTCTTACCAAACAAAAAAGAAGAAAATAATTTTCTTTCCTTTAGGGATGAAAAACTTATTATTTTTACTTTTTCTTCCTTTCTTCCGTTTTTCCATTTTTCGCACCAGACGATCCATAATATAGACCACATCTTTGGTACAACTTGGTACAATAGTATCTAGATTAAAAAATTTTATGAATTTCGGATTGAAATGTCGATCTAGTATGGCAAGTATATGGGTTGACTTAATCCAAAAAATAAATATAAAAATGACCAAGTCTGTCAAGGTGATTCAAATGGAAAGGTTTTAAAATTATAATGCCAGAGACCGAAGGCTTATTTCTTGCAAGATGAGCTTCAACTTTGTTTGATACACGTGGTTTATAGATGATTAAGTGTATGTATAATTTACATTGTAATCGTAATTTTAAAAGATACATGATTGATATAATTCTCCATTAAAAAGAGAAAGTAGTAAATCATCTCATATTCGTAAGGGTGTTAATCGAGACAAGTTACTCGAGGTTGGTTCAGATAGAACTTGCCTCGAGCTCGACTTGTATTTTAAACGAGTTGAGTTTGAACAATTTTTTTAGACACGTTTAGAAAACAAGTTTAAAAAGTTTGGCTCGAACTCGAAAAACTTAGTTCGTTTATATGTAAAATAGTCGAGTTACTCATATTCGACTTGACTCATTTTATAAATAAGCCGAGCTTGAATAATTTTTTAAATTCATTTAAAAGTACAAGTTTGATAGACTCAGACTTAAGCTTGCAAAGATCAGCTCGATTAACACCCTACATATTTGCAAGAATTTAGAAATAGTTGAAATTAAGTGGGCATAATTGTAATAGTATATGTATATGTATACACTAACAATGATGCGAAATGCAACCATGTGCATGGGACACACAACTGATCATTTTAAAATGGTGTTAGCATCATTTGATACAATAAGCCAATGGCCTACCAAATATTGTTCACATGTTCTTGTCCACACCAAAATTGTCGGTCCTCCCCACATAAACTCTTTGTCCCTTATTAATTAGATTAATTACCACTATTATATTAATTACATAAAATGGGTATGTCTTCAAGCATTCATGATCAATATTCCCTATTGAGTGTTATGCATTTAAATTTCTCGTATAAAGGGATAACGTTGCGTATTTACGATCTTCCTAAGACCGTGCAAGGCTATAAAACTCAAAAAATTACAATTTAAATGTATATCATCCTTTAAATGAATGGATCCTATTAATTTTTTCAGTGGAACCCACTTATCCCACACTTATCTAAAAATGATATGTTTTCAAATATTAAATTTTGAGTTTTATTTGGGTTATGTAGTATTTTCTTTAAAAAAAACTCATATACTTGGGGCGTATTTGGCTTGATTTTCAAAAACTATTTTTTGTTCTCAAAACTTTAAAAACAAGGAGATGCTGTTTGTTTAATTTTTTGTTCTCCAATTTTTTTAAAATTTTGAGAAATGAGATGTAATTTTAGAGAATAATAAAATGATGTTCCATTGTTTTTTAAGGCAAAATGAAAATAGGGGAAACAATCTATATCCAAATTAATGAGGTCTCCCCTTTGAGTTTCATTGGAGACAAAAAAGACAAATTGTCTCCACCGCCTCCACCACCTCATTTAGCTGCCTCCACCGCGCACAAAAGAGAGAGAACACAGATCTGAAAATATACACAAATCTGAGTAGCCTCCACCGCCTCTTTTTCTCTCCTTCACAACTTCTTCTTCTTCGCTCACTTTGTGTTTTGGGTGGCTCTGGGTTCGGTGGTTATTTTTTGGGTGGTTTTGGGTTCGATGGTTGTGGGTGGTTCGATGGTGGTCTTGTGTGGTGGTTATGGGTTTTTGGGTGGTGAAACATAGATAGATAGAGAGGTGGAAATATTGGGTGGTGGTCTTGGTGATGGGTGGTGGGTGATTCTTGACGTGGGTTGGTGGTGGTTGTGGGTGTTGGGTTGATGATGGTTCTCAGTTGTGGGTGTTGGGTGATACACAGTGAAAGAGAAAGAGAGACAGAGAGTTGAAGAGATGTGAAAATTATGGATTATTGTCCAAATAAATTTTATAATTTTTATTTTTTAAAACTATTTTCAAAAATATATAATTAAACAGGATTTGTGATCTAAGAATTTTTATAAACACTTTCTTAAAACTCTTTTCAAAAATAACTTTTAGATACTATTTTTTAAAATACTAACCAAACTGACCCTTGGTTTTCCCTTATCAATTGTATTCAGGTTGTCTAATCCTCGGCGTGTTTGGTTGGTAATAATGAAGCATGATAATGAAAAAACCATTACTTAGTAATACTCATTCTAATGTTTGATATGTAGTTATAAAAATACATTATCATTTTCATTTGCCAGGAAATGCTTAATCCTACTGGTATAAGATTTATCATTTCTGAATATTTGGTGGTATTTATCATTTTCAACTACCATCACACGTCGCCACCACTATTATTGATTTACTACCACCACCCCACCTTCACTCGATATTAGGTCCAGTGTTGGAATCAGGGGTCCGATCGGGAGTCGGTCTGCTCCGAGCCGAGGGATTATCTAAATATGTAAGTAAATTTTTAATTCTATTACAACACATAATCTTAATTGTTACCGAACATTGGAATGATAATATACATTCTATTTCATTCTTGTCTTCATTTCATTCATTCTCATGTAAAAATATTATCCCATACCAAATTCGACGTTTACAAGAAGCAAAGGGTGGTGATAGTAGAGTCAGACTAAAATATATACCTAGTTTAGTCTTTATTGAACCGAGTGAAATTCAAACCTAAGACGCTTAAGTAAAGTATACGACGTGACAAAGTTAATTCCACACTACTAAACCACTCGTGCCCATTGAACCTACTAGTTTTAATATCATGTGCCGAGTAACTACTCTTTAAGATTCAAATCTATGAATTCGTTGTTGTTAGTCCAATATTTTCCCTGTAAGGTTTGACAGCTTACAGGTTACTGTCTCATTGTTTGTTGAATTTGTTTACTTTTTCGTTAAAAATTTAATGCCTTTATTTACTTATTTTGGGCTTTAATTGCATCCTGGTAGTAGAGGAGTGACATTAATATTAAATACTATTACGCACTTTATAACTTTTATTCTCATGCTATGCCCACTAACTAGACCAAACGGGCTAACCCAAATCCAACCCAATGACCCACGACAGAATTCAAAATAGTAAAAAAAAATGTCAAAATTGACAAAAAAAAAAAAGAACAGATAAAATAGTCTCATTAAACCAATTCTATGGACAATCTGCTAAAAGCCCATTAAAACTAACTCAACCATCCAATGACTCATCAGCCCAGCCAGCGGACCATAATAGACCCGGCCCGTCTCCAACCCTCCTTAATTTTAGTCCCAACAGTTGAGTTTGCATTTGCATTCAGGTATTGTTAAAGACCCTTTTTTTGTGTGGGTGGGTGGTTTTTTTTTTTTTTTTTTTTTTTTTTTTGGGGAGGGGGGGGGGGGGGGGTTGATAAATAAGCCTGACTTATTACATCCTCAAAAATAATACGTGGAATGTTTCACCAGTATGACAATGATTCTTAGGAAATATATAAACATTCCGGGGGAAGATTTAAAAAATATATACAGGCTCATCATAACTAATAATATGAGAGAGCAAGACAACATACTAGACGTGGAAAGGCTTCCGAGGTGTTGGTGCTCGGTTCTCCAGGGACTGCAATCTTTGTTTTAGATGGAAAACTTCGACCTGCATGTTCAGCAATGCATCGCCTAGATGAATAAACCCAGAACGATTTTTAAAAAAAGAATCGGTGACAAGCAAATCATGCCATGGACATCTGTACATAAGATGTGCAAGACCAACCATGACTGCAGATCTCACCTCAGATGCAAACCAAGACAAATGGAGAATGAAATTCTGTTTTGATTTCTATTAAGGATGATTGAAGGTAAGCACAAATTTATAAGTCAGATGGTTGGCATGCAAGTGTTGTGGCTGGCTTTATCATCACTTCAGAAGGTTGGTTGGTTGGTTGTCCAACGATATGCCAATTTTTCTTTTGGCTCATCAAATTATGATAGATGTTGCAGAAAAAATTCTATTGTTAATGAACAATAAATATAAGTAAAAACTGGTTAGGCTTTGAATACTTTGATACTTTGCATACAATGGACAAACAAGATGAGGACGCATGCCAGCCTGAAGTAGATCACCTGGTCAGAGTAGTCCAAGTATTGAACCAAGTAATGAAGAATCAACTTATCAAAGCTTAAGGACGATGAAGTAAGCAGCTACATTAGAGCAAGACCAAATGAGCTCTTTAATTATCAGTCCTAACAACAGCTATCTAATGGTTTATTGTTTTGGGCTCTGAGGCATACCTGTAATTGGAATGCTCTTGCCCTTTCCCCAGCAAGGACTCCTCTAGTTGAATGCAGCTCCTACAAGATATCTCAGTTAACACAAGTAGTGGAACGTAAAGCCAATAGATTCACACTGACAAGCCAGTAAGCTTAGCTAATAGTAAAGAGATGATCAAACAGGATGACCGAATAAAACTTTAATCTGAATAATACCTTCTGGGTGTCATCCATAACCGCCTTAAGGAAAGCCACATCATGCTCAAGCCTTACATTGTCAGAATGGACAATATTTGATAGGCTGTTGGCCTCTTCCTGTGCTAATTCTACTCCCGCTAGCTTCTCTCTCAGCAACTCCATCTCCTTCACAGTATCTGCCAACTTTTTCTCCATCTCCTGTCTACTCTTAAGAGCAGAAGATAAATTCTTCTCTGCTGCTTCACGGCTAGCCAATGCAGCTGCCAACTGCCCTTCCAAGATTCCATTCTTTGTTATTAGCCCAGCCAATCTCATTTCATAAAATTGGTAGACACTTGAAGGAGCCGATGGTACTCCTGATTTACCATCACTTTGTTGAAGTACTACACCATCATTACTATCTTCTGTAAAGTTTCCATTTTCTTGTTTGTTATCCAAGTTCAAGTTTTCGGATTCATGTACACAGGACATCTCCTCTGCATGAATTTTACCCCCATTAATCGTAGTCTGAATGCCCACATCAAGTTGTTTGGTTCTCTGCTCCATTACCTGTAAAGCCAAGGAAGTTGCATAATAAAGTCATGCTTTTGATACCATGTTACAGTATGTTTTCTCTTGATGCTTGCAAAATGGTCAACCACTTGACGACAGAAAAGGCTGACACTAGTAACAAAAAATAAAAATTGCATCTTCTATTAGACCCAGGTTTCAAACTAGGAGAAATCCTTGGTCAGTAGCATGGAAACAAACAAGGCAGCACAATGAAGCCAGCAAGAAACAGTAAAATTTGCAGAAATGATCTTCAAAGTTCAAAAGGAGACCAATCCAAAATGAACTCAGAAACATACTGGCTTTTGGAAACAGAATGAACTATGAAATTTAGTCACAATAGTCAATAGACGGGAACTTTGTAGTTCACCTGATAGGAACTTTCATATTCTGAACTCTTTGGCATCTTCACAGCTGCGCTATCTTCCTCATTGTAAAATGGTTTACAGAGTGAGAAATTACCAGAAACAGGATGTGGATCGACAAGTAAGGACTCTGACAAAGATTTCCTACCAGACCCATGTTGTTCAATTGCAGATGCTAGATTTTGTCTTGCAACAGAGTCAAATGAACCATTCAGATTACTGTTACTTTGTAGAGTAGCTGACCCAATGGATGATGACCGATTCTCAGACAGCAAAGTTCCTGGACCTCTATTCAGTGTGGACAGCCGACCCATAGATGACTCATTCTTTTCCATGATCAGTACTTCCACCTGTAACAAAGCATGAAAGCAAAGTTTATTACATTAACCATACACCATTATGAAATAATTAAGATTTAATTTCTATTTTGAACCTGATTCGATGGATCCTTTTTGGTCCCACCAAATGCAACAAGGAAATCCCTTTCCTTGTGCTGCACCAATACAAGGCTAAATCCCTGAAGAAAAACACTCCTCCAGTAAATGTGCCAATATAGTACATATTAATACACGTTAAACAAAATCAACAAATTGAAACAGATTTTGTATTGACTAAGAAAATTTTCAAAATTTTGTTACAGAGAAATGATGTAGGAGTGTTGTATAAAATCTGCATGAGAAATGGTGGCTTGGGTAAAAAAGCAACACAAATCAATTCCAATTCTACAAACCTGATTGCCAGAATCAACAATAACAGCAGGACCGTTAGTGACCCAACTTTGAAGGGCGACCAAGAAACTTAGAAACATTGGTGCACATGTACAATCTACAGGTCAATTAAGATCCAGGCAGCCTAAATATGTGCTCCCCCATATTTAGTTGCAGTATCCAACCAAATCTCAGATCTAAACATTTTCCTACCCAATGTGAAAATCATCAAGGTTCTGCACAGCTTAGTGTTGATTTCAGCTGTCAATGTCAAGTTCAAGAGTAAAACATAGTCATACTGATTTGTGAAGACATTGCCCTATTGGTGCCAATAGAAACTAAAGCATTGACATTAAAAGGACAGCATTACTTACACCCTTATCGGGTATAGCAGAACAGAAATTTAGACAAATTTGACAAGACAAGCCACATCAAATTAAACAAGTTTGTAATCCATACGTAGATGCAGAGTCCAACACCCCCCCCCCCCCTCCAAAACAAAACAAAAAAAAAACCCACAGTTGGAATTGAGAAATTGCATAGATTTTTTGCAACAGAAAATGTATTGTTATATCAGACAGGAAGCTAACACTATAATATCAGATGAAATTTTACTATGAAGTACCACAACAGTTGTAAGAATAATTAATCCTTAGTACATGCCAGCATCGAGCAAACAATTATGGGTGTTAGAAAGAATGCTGCTTTTAGAAGTAAAAGTGAAACCTGTTAGTACAGTGACAAAATGTATGCCCACTGTACCACAAATAGATGAGGTTTGTAGTTCATCCTTGTGAAGACTTGGAATCAAAAAACATAAATCTGATACCTGAAAGACCAACAGTACAAAAAATGAAGTAATGAAAACAATCAACAAATTGCACCTTATTGGTGGCGATAGAAGATGGTGGAGACGCAACAGCAACAGACCATTCAAGTTTTAAAACATCGAATACCAAAGTCTCTGCATATCCTGAAGAGGAAAGATATATAAAAAGGGTTAAGAAGTTGGAGTCAGTCTGCAAGAGCAAAGAAAAATGTGCACCGAAGATTCCAGTGATAAGCTTAAGCACAATTAGAAAACCTATAAACATTTGTCCTCACTTAGCCAACTAATCAAAATGCAAGGTGGATAACATTGATATGTGCCTAACTTCGGGCACTGGAGAAGCACACCTGGTTCAAATTGTTAGATCTGTGTCCTGCATGGATAGAATAACCTTCCAAACTAGTACATGAACCTTGTGGGCCTCTCCATGCGTAGCCAAACTATTGATTTTTTAATATGTGAAAAGAGAAACGAATATAGACAATTTGTACCAAACATAATTTGGAATATTTGAACAACAATTCATTGCCAAAAGTTTGTGGGGGGATTAGGATTCAGGAAAACCCATGATACAAATATGACTCTAATGGCTAAACTAGGATGGCAATTAACCCCACAATCCCTCAAACTTTGGTCCTCCCAGCTCTCAAGCAAGTATTGCTCAAGACATTCTTTCCCACATGTGCCAAAACAACCTTCAGACTCACCCATATGGAAACAAATCCTTGAATGCAGACCACTCATTGAACAAGGGGCGTGCTATATAGTGGGTTCTGGGCACAAAATAAACATTTGGACTGACCCTTGGATTCCTAACATCCCCTCCTTCAAACCCCAAATGATGCATGAAATTGATCCACCCCCGACACTGGTTGAAGAGCTTATTGATCAACAATCCAGAACTTGGAAGAGAAACATCCTGTCATCCTGCTTTGATGAACAGCCGACCCAAGCAATCCTCAAGATAAGCTACCTACTTTCCACACTGAAGACAAAATGGCCTGGATTCCCTCTAATTCAGGATTGTTCACAACAAAATCAGCCTACATCTCACACAGAGCAAATCTGGATAAAACTAGTCATTACCTCAACACCCCTGATTGGATCAAATTGTGGAAATCCCCTTATTGGAATTTGGAGAACCGTGACAGAGAGCCTACCCAAAAAAACCACCCTATCCAAAAGATTTCCAGTTCA